TAAAAGTCATATCAGTTTTTGGCAGCAGGGAAAAGTTGGGCATATGTCAGTAAAACATCTCTCTCTCTGTCTCTCTCTCTGTCTCTCTCTCTCTCTTTCTTTTGTGTATATGTGTGTATATGCTTGGAAACTTCAGATACTGTAATAGCAGCTTGATTACAACTTAAGCTTCTCTGATTCCCTGCAGATCTCTCAGTTTGCAGAATGATGGCACTGTACACAGCAGTTGAGTGGTCTGAATCTTTAGTGTTTATTTTCAGCCTGTGACATAGCCACTGTCTCAGTTTCTATGAAATAGGTAAGCAACATTCTTTCAAATCTTAAAATCAAAGTAACTCATAACTTCAAGGGCAAGAGTGCCTTAATTAAAAAAAAAAAAGAAACAACATGTTCACATATTCTGACAATTTCTGAAACAAGAAAGGTTGATATTGCCATATTACATTGCATAGTACATTGGTTGTGATAGATGTGCACTATCTCAGACTGGATGCTCCTTCTGCCCCTGTATCCTGGCACAGTCTTCACAGCGGCAGAGAGCTAAGAAGAAAACAAAACAGAATATTGGGCTTGCCAGCATTACTAAGCATTTTGGAAATTCTTTTCAAAGAGTTCTTTTAGAAGGAAAACATTATTGAAGGTCACTGGCATACTAAGTATGAAGAAGAGCTTATTAATACTCTAACAGTAATCACATTTAATCTAGTCAACTAAATCGAGAGGGAGTGATCAGTTGAGAATACATCAAAAGATCTACATAGATTGAAAATGAAATCAAAATTCATTTTGGTAACTGAGATGGTTAATATGACATTCTAATTGCTCAGGAATCAAACATCACAAAGCTTGGTGTGTAATTTTAATCATTGATGAGCTCCAGGTTAATTATCCTCATGACATGCATGCAGCTTTTAAACCTCTCTGAAATAATCTGATAACCATAAGCATGGAAATCTAATAATTTTCTCATTAGTCCACAAACATGAATGTTTACCTTTGCATTTACCAATTCTGCACAATGTATACATACTGAAGGCAGCCAGAGTGCCTAAAATATCATCTTCTGCTATACTGAAAGAAATGAGGAAGGCAGGAAGAGACTAGAGACTTGGACTTAAAGCAAGTTAGTAAATTAATGATGCTAGATTAAAATACAAAGTTTCAGAACCCAGGGTAATTTACCCCTAGCTATAAGATAGTCAACTAAGCTTGATGCATATGACTGATATGTGGAAGAAGATTCACCTTAACTAGAAATAGTGAGAAAGCCTCCCATTTTATGGTTTTGTAAAAGATTTTCAAAGCTATCTTTATTATTATTTTAATTCCATTTTGTTTTACCCCCACTACAGTTCTCAGATCACAAAAACACTAGGATTGTTACATATATTCTGAATGTACTTCAAATGACTTGAATGTAATGTGCAGTTAATAATTTTAGCTGGATGATGAATAGACCAAAAAGTATCTCAACATAAAGTAGATTGTCTTTTTATTTTACTTTAAAAGAGCCAGAAGTACCTTTCAAAAAAGTAACACTACTGCTATATGAAAATAATTAAGGAAACTATGTTAAAGAATCCATCCCAGGTCATAGCAATGTGGTAGGCCATATTATGCTGTAATATTCCCATATAATTTTACACAGTCACCTATCAATTTCTTCTCAAGAAGCTATATATTAACTAGGAACTAAGTCAAATAACAAAACCTCTATACAACCAAACATATTTCATTCTAATACCAGCAATAACAAAACTATTTAAATTGCTACAACTAGTCATTGTTTTCAGGAGCTGCTAACTATAACCACAGCAATGTTTATCAGTACATTCTGATAGGATCATTTTGTACAGTTAAAGTTGTTTATATCAGTATGTACAGTGACACTGAATATGATCCTAAGTAATTTCATTGCCATCAATGTCAGTTGAAGTTTTTCTTTTATCAACATGATCCATTTAAGAAATTCATGCTAAAGTTTTATAAGTTCCAGTATAAAGATCACAAAGCCAACCATTTTAACTTAAACCATAGAACTCATTCCAAAATGACTGTGTAACAGGTTAACTCATTGTAAAATTACTTCACTATTTAAGCTGGCTTCTGTTTAGTCTTCAACAATTTCTAGACTCACTTCCAGACATTCTATTTTTAAAAATGACCCAAATCCTCAAGAAATTCCTAAGAAAAAGCCTAATATAAGTTTAATGCTAAGTTCAGAACGATACATACCTGCTGGTCTGCTTATAATATGTGTACACATTTTTTGGTATTCTCAGGAATTCACAAGATCAGTGATTTTGATCATGTCAAATCCCTTTTATAGAAATAATGGACAATATTCAGAAAAGAACTTTGTTTGCTCCCTCTGCTTTGCTTTCCTCTGCAGTCACTGCTGCCTAAACTCTGCTCTGTTAAATGACCAAACCCACCTACTAGGAGCCAGGCTAATGAAAGGGGGTGCTTTCTGAACAATAGAAGAATTCCTTTGCATTCATCAAGCAGAGTTCCCATTAGAACCCAAAATCAGAGAGGCCAGTTTTACCTCTGTTTTTTAATTGAGATTGTCCCCGTCTTCCTCTATGGTCCAGTGAGACAGTGTTTGTGAAATGATTAAAAAGAACGTGATCTGATGGAGAGGACAGAATAATGGGAAAGGAATGCTAGGTTGGCCACTCTGCTAAGGGCTGAGAAAGAAGACCAGTGCACTCCTTAGCCTGTTGTTTTTATTCTCATCTGCCCTCGAGCCATCTCACAACACTCTTTGAGTCTTTATTTGCTCCATTTTAAATGGGTTAAAAGTTGTCCACTTACGAGAGAATTTGGTAACAAGTTACAAATCAAAAAGGAAAAGAAAAGAAGAAGAAGAAGAAGAAAATAAATAAAAATCTTTGAATTATATCAAGTTTCCAAAAGGTCATCACTGTCTCTGCTGTGGCCTTTTCCCCATTCCAAATCCTCTATCAATATGTCATAGTGAGTTAGGCAAAGACAAAAGAGAGGCGCAGTGTGAAAACGGCACATATATCTAATCCTGACAAAGCAATGAATAGACCTTCACAAGTATAATTATACTTGTTTATTTGTTGCCACGTACAGAGAACTGATGAAAAAAATCCATCAAAGTGGTATTATGCAGACACCAAGAGCTTCTTTTCTTTGGTTGCTAAAGCCACATTGAGGCTTAAATTCCTTATTGTTAAATTCAGAAGAAAGAAAAAAAAAGATTTTAGACTGGATTTTTTTTTTTTTCATCAGTTGCTGACAGATCTTTTGTGTGCCAGGCTGTATTAGTTCACACTGCTATCTCATTTTTATCTATATTGGAATTCATAATTACAAACTACTGTACAGGAGCTTTTAAAAGGGTGTGGTATGCTGACGAAGAGAAGGTAGGGAAATTATCCTTTTCTCACAGTCTCTCTTTTGATATATCAAAACACAGGTAAAGTACCTGTGTGGAAGTTACCAGTTACATCTGAATATATCTTTGATCTCGACTTTTTTAAAGTGGTTTTCTTTAAGTCAGCTTTCTCTGAAATTTACTTGTTTTAGTAGGTGTTTATTTAGTATTTTATAGAAGATTGCCTAACTTCTTTCCCGTTGCAGTATTTGAAACATTAGCAAGAAGGAAGGGAAATACTAGAATGTCAAAGAACTGAAAATATTAAGTAAAAAAAGGTTTCAAATCCAACTATTAAGAAGCTATTATGTTCCGACAGACACTAAATCAAATGACTTAACCAAAGCACATTTTTAGAGGTGGGATGGGGAGCCAAGTAAGCTTTTTTTTTTTTTCTTGCAGGATAGAAATATATCAAAGTAAATGCAATCTGCATAGTTAATGTTTGTGAGCTTTACAATTTAAAACAGAAAAGCTGTAATTTTTCTTTGCTGGCAATCTGGAAACACTCTGGAGTTAATTACAGCTGATTCGGAGTGAACCACACAAACAAAGACCAGTCTATGTCCAGACAATTATACTGCATTAACC